CCTTCATCATTCTTCTTGTGTTTTTATTCTTCAACCAGTTAAGAGTAGTATGCCTTGAAATGCCCTAATTTCTTGTAGTTATAGCACACACGTTCAGAAGTATCATCCATATGCTTATGTTTTCTTACCTTTGTGTAGGAAGGATGAATGATTTCTTATCGTGTTTCTCTTCGGCTAATTATGTTGAGCATATAATATATATAAACATAAATGTGCAATCTAACTATCAGCTTAGGCTTTTAGTTGAGATGGAACACATGCTTCAATTTGGTATCAGAGACATGCCAAAGGTCACGGTTAGAAGATGTTGATGGTGTTTTGTTTTTGACCAGTGCAATTGCAGGCTTTTCACTTGTAGCATCTTGTTTGTCTAGTCGCAGAAAATAAATCAAATTCATGGCTCTGTTGATCCAAGAACAAGGATTCCGTTCGTTGTAGTATATGCAAATTCCTTGTTGCATGCCTAGCTCTAACATGCATCATGCACTTTCTTGACGTGCCATTCATTTGGCCAAGGGGGAAATTACACTTTTGGTCCCCCAATTAGTGTTCAAAATGCAATGTGATCCTTATTTCTCAATTTGGACAGAATTGGTCCCTCAATTATTCCACCGTTAGTCAATTTAGTCCTTCTGTGAGTTAATCCGTTTAACACCCTTCACAGAAGGACTAAATTGACTAACGGTGGAATAATTGAGGGACCAATTCTGTCCAAATTGAAAAGTGAGGATCACATTTCATATGGAGCACTAATTGAGGGACCAAAAGTGTGATTTCTCCTAAATAAAATTTACATTAGTTTATGCCTAGCACTCAACTTAGCAGTGATAATTAACTTAGCAGTGATAATTAAGTGAATTGTGGCCATCAATTAATCTAGCTAACTCCTTCATTAAGGAAATAAAGAAGAAATTAGAAAGGCAATTAAGTAGCTAGATAGGTGTCCAGCTGAGCCACCATGCATGCCCTATTCGCCTTTCACTCCTTTGAAAGTGAATTCTGACTGATTTGGAATGTCTTTAATGCCCATTGCTAACCTTTAGTCAATTGCAATCACCTCAAAATGCAATTCTCTCTCTCTCTCTCTCTCTCTCGATCTCATCTCAAAATGAAAAATTACTTTAAATTGACTTTAATTTAAAGATGAGATCTTGATTAATATCATACTTTCCCAACTTCTAAACCAACTTAGATCAAGTCATTTAATATGTGCATCCCAATAAATTCTTTTTCATTACATATCTGCTTAATTAGCTGGCAAATCCTCTATTAATTTGCAAGATACAAAATGTTTTAGATATAAATTTATGATTTTTTAAAAGTGTTGATCGGTACACAGACGTATTCTATATTAGATACAATCATTCACGCTATATTTGATTTTATGCCAAAGAAATACTATATGTACTCTCATTTTTTACTCCTAACTTTTACCCCCACACAAAATCTTGATGTAGACACTTTTATTGAGACCCACATAAAAAAGTAACCTATCAATACCCGCCACATTAGAGAATAAAATTTAGGAAATATGATTTGGGAGCCTATGTAGTAAAACTCTAAAACTATCGTAATGTCTTCAAAAAAAAAAAAAAAACTGTCGTAATAGTCATTTATTTTTCCAAGCTTAGTAATTATACTCCACTAAAAAACATATTTGCGTATATGATTCTGTAAATATTTCATCCAAAAAAGGCGTTCTTTTACATTTTTGGTGGAAAAGCATGCGTTAAATCGTTATGTACATCATAACACATTTATTGGTTAGGTTGTGTGACATATCGTTAATGTTAATACAGTTATGTTTATATTATTGCAATCTGAATATTTTTGCAATAATATTGCAATCTGAATGGTTTTGTAATTTCGTAAATTCAAACGACAATTAATTATGTTGAAGATAATTTTTTTTTTTTTTTAAATTGTCCTTAATCAATCATCAGTTTTTACATGAGAGCATGTTCTCACATGAACCATTCTCTATATATAAAATAGGAAAAATGTTCAAATTAAATAAGCCATCGAACTTAACTAAAAATTCAATTAGGCCCCTTAAATTTTTTAAAGTAGCAATTAAACTCATCAATATTGTATTTTGGTGCAATGAAGTCCAAAAATCGGTTTGTGACCTGTGATCAATATTGCCGAAAATATCATCAGAGTTGGCTGAAATGTTGACCGGAACCCTGCTAGTGACCTATGATTCATTGCACTAAAATACAATTTTGATGAGTTTAATTGCTACTTTAAGACGTTGAAGGACTTAATTGACTTATTAGATAAAGTTCGATGACTTATTTAACCATTTTCCCTATAAAATAACATAAGTGTTGCAATAGACGTTTCTCACACAAATTATGTATAATACATTGTATTTCCCTAATAAATGAGATTATAAGGAAACTTGTAATTTTTATCCCCAAATTATTGAAAAATAACATTTTTTGTCCCTCAATTAATCATTTTATCACGTACTTTTTGTTCCTCATCAATTGTTTGCAAAGTAATTTTTTTATTCCAGAATTTAATTAAAATTGGGTTAATTTGCTGCTCTCTAAAAATTTTAGGGACAAAAAAAATTACTTTACAAATAATTGAGATATAAAAAATGATGATCATATACTTGAGTGAATAAAGTACAATTTATATATTAATACCATTTTATGTTGAATTATATGAAAATTGTATATTTTTTTTTTGAAAAAATATGAAAATTGTATATAATCTATTATAGATTTTTCTAAAAGCTATATATATATTTTTGAAAATCTAAAAGCTATATTTAATTTCATTCTTTAATTTATAGATTGTTATAGATAGATTTTTGCGTGCATGGTGCGGGCAAAAATAAGAGGAGGAGATTATAAATTCAGAATAGAGGGATAAAAATTGATTATTTATGAAGGTGGTCACTGATAGAAGGGAGGATTCCAGGCCTGACAGATAACGAGATAAAGAACTACTGGAACACTTACCTGACCAAGAAGCTGATTAGCCAAGGCATTGATCCAAGAAACCACAAGCCTCTACTCATAAACCCTACCAATTCCAACATCCCCAAAAACCATACCTCCTCGTCCTCAGTTCCCATAATCAAACCCACACCCATTCACGTTGGTCTTTCCAACCAAGACAAGACAGTGAAGATCAATAGCAGTACTACTGTTAACGTTGGAGGGACGACGACAAATCATCAGATTGATCAGCCCAACAGCGTGGGAGGGACGACGGCGAATCATCAGACTACTGGAAATGGGGATGAGGGCTTTAATATCGACATCGGAGACGATAATGAGGATAATTTTGGGATGGATTTTTGCCCGGACGAGGATGCGTTTTCGACGTTCTTCGATTCGTTGATGAACGAGGAGGTGTTCTTCGCTGCTGTCCTCAACTTCTGAAAATAATAATAATAATAATCAGCCTCTGAATCCTTTCCAACACATGAACTTCCCCTTCAGTACTGCAGGATGGGTTGATGATGATGCTGATGATTTTCTACCATGATTTGGGTCCTCACCTACCCAAGGAGGGTGGAGCCGCGGCGGCCGGATATAAGAAGAAGAAGAGGGTGAAGAAGTCATCGGAGATGTACAAGATCTACATCTTCAAAGTGCTGAAGCAAGTCCATCTGGGGTCTCTAGCAAGGTCATGGGCATCATGAATAGTTTCATCAACGATATCTTCTAGAAGCTCACCCAAGAAGCGACTCGCTTGGACCGCTACAATAAGCAGCCAACCATCACTTCCTGCGAGATCCAGACCCGCCTGAGATTTGTTCTTCCTGGCGAATTGGTAAATAAGGTTGTCTCCCAAGCACTAAAGCAGTCACCATATTTACAAGCTCTTATATGAAATTATTTAAATCTATGTTTCCTTTTGATATAATCTGAATTTGGGTTAATAGATGTAAAGTAACTTGGATTTGAGTTTAATTTCAGATTATACAATAGTGTTATCTACCTTCAACTATCAATGAATCTATTAGCATTCTCAAAAAAAAAAAAAAAAAAAAAAATCTTGAATGTCGTCTAGGATAAAATGAAAACAAAAACTTAAATTCAAAAAATATATATAATGAAGGATTTAATGAATCGTGAGCCGCAAAGATAATTCTTTTGCAACAATACTGTCTAGAAAATAAATTTAAAATAAAATAAAATCATACAATTAATTAATTGTAATAATGGTCGAGACATACTATTACAATGCAGTAATTGTTCATATACTTTCTCAACCTACTGAAACAAAGAACCAAGGCATGAACTCACAACCTTCTAAATAAAAGTCCAACCCGGGTATCTTTAGACCACATAGTCTTGGTATTTATATTACTATACAATTATTACTATTACTATTTTTTAAAATTAGGAAATTAATTGAATAAATTTTAGTAAAATTAAGGAATTATTATTTTGTTAATTAAGGAATATGCTAATAATGATCAGATTAGTACACTAATAATTATTATTTTAATTATGCTAATAATTATTCATATTATTATACATTTATTAGGTTGTTTTTAGCCGTCGAGGTTTTGAAGCGAATCCTTCCAACTCTCTCCGTGAACTCACACCTTCCCTTTAATGAATGGCTTCAGTCGGGCGTCAAAGGCAACCACACTGCCAACCACCCCTGCAATGAAGGAGCTCTTTTTGCTATCACCCTATATTGAAGGATGGTGCACGTGAACAAGAAGACACACGTGAAGAGGGTGCACAGCAAAGTAGTCTATTAGAGCTTTAAATTAGTTGAGCAGTTGTATTATTCTGTTAGAGTACAGCTACTCACGCAACAGATCAGTTAGTCCAATAGTCCATTGTATAAATACATAAACTGCAGGTTTTTTCATAACTGATAGATATTTTTTCCCTTCGCTCCATCTCTCTGCAACTCTTCTTCTTTCCTCATCCTTTCTGTTTTTGCTTCGTCCGTAACTTCATTAAGAGAAATCTAAAATGGTATTAGAGAACTAAGCAAAGAAGGCAGAATCCTCTATCATGGCGTGGCAAAACACATCCTCCATTCCAGGCATCGGAACTTCGGCACTTCCTACGATTTCTCCGCAACAAGCACATAATCGGACTGCTCTGATCAATCAAGCTGCTCAAAACGCTCCGCAAGCACCTCACAACCGAGAAGATGAGCCTGGGGTTGAAATCACGGTCAATCCGCAAGACACCAGCAATCCATATCACGTCTCTGCTAGCGAAAATCCTTCGCAAACTCTAGTTTCTATTTTACTGAACGGAAACAACTATTATCCTTGGGAGAGAGCCATGCGCATGGCTCTACTGACGAAGAACAATCTGGAGTTTGTAAATGGAGAAATCAAAAGGCCGGAGAAGAGAGAAAGGAGTTTCCCTGCATGGCGCAGAGCTAACAACCTTGTGCTCTCATGGATCTTGCACTCTGTTATTCCAAGTGTAGCTCAAGGAGTTCTGTGGATGGAGACTGCGGAAGAGGTCTGGAATGATCTCAAGAAACGGTACGGCCAGGGCGATGCCTTCATAATCGCCGACATCAATGAAGAAATATATCATCTGATGCAAGGAGGCAACACTGTGAGTGAATTCAATTCTTAGCTGAAACTCTTATGGGATGAACTATATAATGTTAGGCCTCTCCCTATATGCACTTGTGATCCTAAATGTAACTGTGGAGCTTTTGACAAAATCAAAACCCACATTCAAGGTACCTAAAAAGGATAAACAGTCAACTCTATGGAGGAGTGAGGTCACAGATCCTGTTAATGAAACCACTCCCAAGCATGGGGGAAGCCTGTTCCATGTTACAGGTTCAGGAGAGGCAAATTTTCCCTAACACACCATATATTGAGAATCTGGTAAACAATACCCCTCCTGCTGATAACAATGTGATAAACAGAAACTATGTCAATGCCTCTTTTGCCAAGACAAACCTGCCTGGAAACAACAACAGGAGATTCAATAATAATAATAAGAAGACTGTTGTGTGTAGCTTTTGTGGCTTTACAGGTCACACCGTTGAGAAGTGTTACAAAAAACACGGTTACCCTCCTGGTTAGGGCTGTGCATCGGACGGGTTCGGGTGGTTCGCTTTATAGAACCGTTCACCCGTCCGGATTTCGGATTGGGAAAAACTACCCCAATCTGTTCGAATTAAGGGGGAAATCCTTGTTCGGATAGGGTCGGGTGGGTGTCGGGTTTCGGTTTTAATTCGGATTATAAAACATACCAAAAAAAAACTGTAAAAATGTTGAAACTTAATAACTTAAAACTAAATTACCAAAGCTATGTAGGCATTTAGATACATATTGCAATTTGCAAATTGCAATTACAATTCACAAAAGTTAAAAGTTCAAACTGACCAATTCCAACTGGTGTTCAAAAAGCAAAAATGAAGTTCACAAAATCAACAATTCTCAAATCTAAACTATTACTGATTTACTGTTTTTACACTTCACAACAGTAAACTACTAAAGTACTCAGCAATCAGCATTAGTTAGCAATCAACATTCAACAATCAGCATTCATCCATTCCTCATCTTCCTGCTCAATTATAAAACCATTAAAGGCTTTAAAGCCAATAAAGACAAAAAGAACTACATGTCTACATATGACATATCAACTGAAGATAATAAATAATAATAATAATTAATAAGAAAGGCTCAGATTGCTTTTTTTTCATATCATTTTAGAGTTGGGGGCAAATTGCTTCATGAGTTTTGTCTCAGAGCAACATACCAAACACCCAAAGTCCTTTTAATTCAGACAAATGGTGGAAGCATCATCATAGCCATAAGAAACACAAACTAAACAGAAAGGAGAATATGAGAGGAAGGGAAGTGATATACCAGAATTCCAGAGAAGGCATAATACCAGAGATCTAACTGAGTAAGGGCAACAACATTTATAAAAAAGTTACCAAGCCACTTAGCAATTAGCAGTTCTGGAATCTTACCTGAGTTGCCTCAAAGGGTCCACACATTTAGCAATCAAACTAAACAGAAAGGAATGTTATATAAACTAATAAATTATAAAAGTATTACAGCAATTGTTGGGAGTGTTCCAACAGGTACTTAGTGAAGAACCAGCAGCTCCAGTGGACAATTCTGCACAAAAAGAAAAAACAAAAAAGAGTTTAGAAAAGGTAACAATTAACAATTTATAAATTTAAAACCTAGAAAGTTAGAAAATAAAAAGAGTACCCTTCTCTAATCTTTCAACATCATCCAAGTTTTCCTCAACAGAGATTGGATGATTGGGTGCCCTCAACCAATCTTGTGTACAGACTAGGGCTTCAACAATTTTAGGAGTTAAAGGAACTCCTAAAGGAATCTAATACCCTACCACTAGTACTGAATGCACTCTCAGAGGCAACAATTGAAATGGGAACATCCAGCACATCCCTTGCCATTTTAGAGAGTATAGGAAATCTATCACTGTTAACCTTCCACCATCTTAGGACATCAAAGTCCACATTTTCTTCATCTTTCACTAATTTTTCACTTAGATAAATTTGGAGTTCAGTTTCTTTACTGCTTCCACCAGTCTCCATTCTCTATTTTTTAAGCTGGCTTTTCATTCTAGCCTGAGGTTTTCCAACTGAAGTTTGAGAATGGACAGGTTCAGATTGCGTAGATTGCACAGTAGGGGATGCAGACTGCACATGGTAGGTGGCTGTAAAATCATTAAACAGCACAACCATAGAATATTGAACCTTTTCAAAGCATGATTTTCCTTTATCATCACCATATAACTGGGCAAATTGGGCAGGCATGTACTCAATCTTATCCCTAGGATCCAAAATATTGGCATAGAATATCAAGAAGTTCATTTTTTCAGGATCTCCCCAATATTTTTCAAATTTTTGTTTCATATGGGACCCCATTTCCTGAAAAAATAGACATAACACAGAAAAAATAAAATCAAAGTTAGACACAATTCACAGATGCATACAAACACATTCAGAAATGTTAACAATTTACCTTTTCAGAGGTTGAAACAGAGTTAACCATGTCATCCAGCATGCAACCTAAGTCAGAAATCTCAGAAAGAAAGTATTTGAAGTGACATAGAGAGAACCAGATATTCTCACGGTCATCTCATAGAAGCCTTTAAGAAAATGGACTAAGCTTTGCACAGAAAGCCAATCCATAAAATTTGGAATAGAATCATATAAGTCAGCACTCATTGAGGAATCATTCTCATAAGCTTCAAAGGCCCTCTGGTATTGAAGGGCAGTGTTGAGCATCATGTATGTGCTGTTCCATCTTGTTGGAACATCAAGTTGTAATGCACATTTGGCTTCCACCCCATTAAGCACAGCAAGCTCTCCAAACTTCTTGAGTCTGGCAGGAGAACTCCTCACCCATCTCACAACATCTCTAACTTTCTTAACAGAAGGACCTGCATATCTCAACCCATCCTGGACCACTAAGTTCAACACATGGGCTATGCACCTCATGTGCATATATTGAACCCTAACAGAAGACCCATCCGAAGACACAAGTTTGTTCTTGAAAAACCCCAAAGCTGTGTCATTTGAAGAGGCATTATCAATAGTAACAGTGAAGACATTTTTAATCCCCCAATCAAGAAGACAACTCTCAAGGGCTTTGGCTATGTACTCTCCCTTATGAGAAGAAATTGGGACAAAGGAAATGATCTTTTTGTTAAGCTTCCACTGATCATCAATGAAATGTGCAGTAATGCATATGTAATTTATCCTTTGGACAGAGGTCCATGTATCAGTGGTCAAGCTGACCTTTTGGGTGCTCACACTAAACAACTTTTTTAGGCTTAGTCTCTCATCTAGGTAAATCTGGTAAATGTCTCTAGAAATGGTCCACCTAAAAGGGATTTGAAACCTAGGACAAGCAACTAAAATGAATTTCCTAAAGCCATTTCCCTCAACAATCCTAAAGGGAAGTTCATCAACAATGATCATCTCACACAATGCCCTCCTAATAGCCTCTTGGTTGAAAACCCAAGTCCCCAAAACCCCCTCAGAAGCTTCTGTTCCAGAGGTATAAACCTCATTAAAGGTGAGAAGAGACTGCCTTGTATCCTTAGAATGTGAATTTTTTTAGGCAGGCCACCATATGGTTTCTCAATGAGGAAGTGCCATGCTTTTTTACTTTCACATTTATAAATTTTTGCACAATAAAGGCATTTGCCCTTAACTACTGGTCCCTCAGTATCACCTTCACCTACAGGACCACAGATCTTTTCAAAATGATCCCATACTTTGGATCTAGACTCCACCTCTTTCCTCTTCTTTGTAGGAACAACAGGAGGAGAAGACATAGGATTTGTCTGAGGATTTCTCTCAGTACTTGGAGCTTTTACTCCATGCTCTTCATCAGTTGAGGTTGGAGGGTGTCCAGATGCACTGATGTTTTCCATCTATAAAGATGGGCATCAGTATCCGAATAAAGCAGACAACCAAACAGATTTGAGATTACAAATCATAAACAGGTAACATATTTACATATTACAACATATTTTAGATTAAAGCTTCCACTATACATAGAAGTATAGAACATAGTCAACATAGTCAAGCAGATTAGCAAATTACATATTACACTTCCACCATTAAATCCATAAATCAGATTTGCATTTTTCAAATCATCATCTAAATGGAATTGCCCAAACCTTACTGCCTTAGGACTTAAGAGGTTTAGGGCTTTGTGTTCAACTGCTCATACAATCAACACAAATACACAATACAATTCAGTCTCATAATTCATAAAATCCATAATCACATTAATCAAATTTAGGCTTCCACCACTACAATATGTAACATAATTACATATATACAGTCTGTACAAAGTTAAGGGTCCGATTACCATAAACATGAAACCATATATCAGGAATTTGACAAATTCATCATTTATATGGAAAGCCCCAAAACTTAGGGCTTAGTGAGCCAGCGAGTCACTGACTCACGTACAAATTAGGGCTCACAAAGTCACAATTTCATCACAAATCGCAGAATAATGCAAATAATCAGAATATACAGAAACCCCAAAAACTATCCAAGTATCAATCATAAATAACACAACTTACACAAGAACCCTTAAAAAACAGTATTAAAAACATGTTTTCGATTACTTGATTTCTCCAATATGTTCCTGGAGAACTAGGTCTTCAACTCCACTCTTCAAGCAATCAACACAGCCATACAGGGACACTGGACGTCTGGACACAGGGGCTTCCACCAACGCTTTGCTGGCTTGAGAGTTGAGGCTTCCACCACGGTCCACGGCTCAAGAGAGTAGGGCTGTGCAGAACGAGTGAACTACAGAACCCTCGAAGCCTTTGAGAGACTGAGACTCTGAGAAGATAAGAGAGTGAAGAGTGTCTGAGTCTCTGAGAGTCTGAGTCTCAGAGAGGGTGAGACTTGAGAGAGTGAGAGAGTGAGAGAGTGAGAGAGAACTGAGAAGTAGAAGCTGCGCAGCTGAAATGCTGAATAATGAAACCCTAGCTCGTATAACACATATATATATTATCCTCACACGACATCGTATTATGCATATATATATATATATATATATAGTTTCGGGTTTTCGGACGGATCGGGTTGCTTTTAAGCAAACCCTAACCGACTATATATTAAATCGGAAATTCAAAATAAAGGGCGTCGGGTTACTAGTCGGGTTCGGTTATCCACTCCGAGAGTGATGGCGGGGCGCGGGTTGGACGGGTTGTGCACAGCCCTACTCCTGGTTATAGAGGGAAAGGGAAAGCTGGAGGGGTAGCTAATGCTGCTCAGGTGTCACAAGCTCAAGATGACACTGACTACACAAGAGGTTTCACCAGAGACCAATATGAGAAGATTGTGTATCTCATTGGTAAAGAAGGACAAAATTCCAATCCAACACCAAATTTCTCGTTAGGACCGAACCCCCCCCCCCCCCCCCTCCCTGGTGGAAAATCAAGTCAATGTTGCTGATTGTGACGTTGGATCACACAAAGAGCCTTATGGTAAGTTTTATCCTCAAAAACAGTTTGATTCCCTTAGTTGGTTAATTGACACAGGAGCCACCTGCCACATTGTATGTGATGTCCAGTTCTTCTCTCATTATGAACCTATTAAGCACCTATCCATCAAGTTACCAAATGGTCATCAAGCACTCGTGACACACGTAGGAGTTATGTGTTTTTCTAAGGATTTTACACTGCATAATGTCTATTGTGTGCTTGGCTTCCATTTTAATCTGATTTCTGTCAGTCAAATCTTAAGAGATGGTAAATGGTGCATTTTCTTGAAGGCTAATAAATGTATCATTCAGGACTCTCAATCATGTAGACATGCTATTCCTCATAATGTTTTTACTGTAAATACTGTGAATAAAACTGTAAGTGGCATGGAAACTTGGCACTATAGACTAGGACATCCATCCTACCCAAGAGTTAAAGTGTTACAAGGCTTAGATCCTTCAATTTGTACCTCAAGAAACACTATATGTGAAATATGTCATTTTGCTAAATAAAAGAGACTGCAGTTTCCCCTGAGCACTTCAACCACTAATAATTGTTTTGATTTGATTCATGTTGATATTTGGGGGCCTAACCGTGTATCCTCAATTTATGGTGATTATTTCTTCCTCACCATAGTAGATGACTATAGTAGATCCACTTGGGTATACATGCTAAAACACAAAAGTGAGACATGGGGGCTGCTGCAAAATTTTTGTGTTTTTGTCCAGACTCAGTTTTCTACCTCTGTCAAGAGCATCTGTAGTGACAACGGTCAGGAATACAACATGCCTTCATTTTATGCTGAAAAGGGAATCATTCATCAGACAAGTTGTGTTGAAACCCCTCAACAAAACAGTGTGGTAGAGCGAAAACACGGGCACATCTTAGCTGTAGCCAGAGCTCTCAAATTTCAGGCCAACCTCCCAGAAAGATTTTGGGCCGATTGTGTCATTCACGCCGTCTACTTAATCAACAGACTGCCATCTCCGGTCCTTCAAAATCAAACACCGTATCAGGTCCTTTTTGGTAAAATTCCCTCCTACTCAAACTTGAAAGTTTTTGGTTACTTAGCTTTTGCTTCAACACTTTCTGCTCATAGAACAAAGTTCAATCCTAGAGCTAGAAAGTGTATTTTTCTTGGGTTCACCAATGGAGTTAAGGGGTACAAAATGTATGATTTAACTACTAGGCAAGTGTTCATGTCTAGAGATGTTGTTTTCCATGAGGGTGTGTTTCCCTTTTCTTCAACTCCCTCCACTGCTCCAGAGTACCTCATCCTACCCCAACCTTCTTTTTTACCAACCCAAGATGTTCCCCAAGCAATACAGAACCACATTTTAGATGATAATCTAGAAGCTACAATCCATGAAACAGACACCACAGTGTCTAATAATAACCCATGTCCAATGGCAGACACTTCATTGTCCACCAGTTCTTCTGATCACAATGCTCAACCAAATGTAATCCATACACCCCCTCAACCAGTGATTAGAAGATACAACAAGCACAAAGTTAAACCAACCTATCTTGATGACTATGCATGTTCCATACAAAACAAGAAAACCAGTCTACACATTGTTTCAAAGGTTCTGTCATATAACAATCTGTCTCAGGCTCACAAAGTATTTTCTGTAAACATCTCATCCATTAAAGAACCTTCCTCATATCAAGAAGCTGTTAGACATTCTTGCTGGAAAGAAGTTATGGATAATGAAATCTCAGCATTAGAAACTAATCAGACTTGGGAATTTGTAGACATGCTCCCCGTCCAAGAAACTAGTGGGCTGCAAATGGGTATACAAAGTGAAGCATAATCCAGACGGCAGTATTGAACGTTACAAGGCCAGTCTTGTGGCTAAAGGTTATACCCAAATCCCTGGGTTGGACTACATTGGGACTTTCAGCCCAGTAGCTAAGATGACAACTATAAGAACTCTTCTCGCCGTGGCTGCTGTCAAAGGTTGGTTCCTACACCAGTTGGATGTCAATAACGCTTTTTTGCATGGGGATCTTGATGAAGAAGTATACATGGTCCCACCCCCAGGCTATAGTCCTCCTAAACCTGGGCAAGTCTGCAGACTTAGGAAATCCTTATATGGTCTTAAACAGGCCAGTAGACAGTGGAACATCAAGCTCACAACAGAACTTCTTGAACAAGGTTTTATCCAAGCAGGTTCAGATCACTCCTTGTTCACTAAAGGTACAGGTGATTCCTTCATAGCCCTGCTAGTATATGTAGATGACATACTATTAGCTAGCAGCAGTGAACTACAAATACAGAATATTAAAGCTCACCTTCATTCCACCTTTAAGATCAAGGATTTAGGACCTGCAAAATACTTCCTTGGATTAGAAGTTGCAAGGAATAAGTCTGGTATCAATGTATCCCAAATAAAATATGCTCTTGAAGTGTTAGAGGAAACTGGATTTTTGGACAGCAAACCAGTCCACATCCCAATGGTTCCTTCTGTGAAGCTACACAAGAATGTCAGTCCTATTATTCATGATCCTTCGATATACAGAAGCATTGTTGGAAAATTGATCTACCTCACTGTTACTAGACCCGATATTTCTTTTGCCACACAACAACTCTCCTAATTTATGGATCAACCGACAGAGTTACACCTAAAGGCCGCCCACAGAGTCTTGCGGTACATCAAAGGGACCCCTGGACAAGGATTATTCTAAAGGGTTTTAGTGACTCAGATTGGGAAGCATGGGATATTGTATCTTCCTAGACTCCAGTCTCATTTCTTGGAAGTCAAAGAAACAGCCAACGGTGTCTAGATCGTAATCGGAAGCAGAGTATAGGGCCACTGCCACTGCCACCTGTGAGCTTCAACGGCTCAGTTTTTTACTTCAAGATTTAGGGGTGCAACATGCTTCTCCCCCAATTATATTCTCAGATAGTAAATCTGCTATCGCTATAGCGAAGAACCCAGTCTTTCATGAGCGTACAAAACACATAGAGTTAGACTGCCATCTAGTTAGAGAAAAGTTACAGAAAGGTCTCCTCAAGCTCCTACATGTTTCTTCTGGACAGCAATTAGCAGATGTTTTCACTAAACCTCACCCCCTGGTTCCTTTCTTAATTTCACTTCTAAGTTGGGCATACATAACATATATGCTCCAACTTGCGGGGGCATATTGAAGGATGGTGCACGTGAACAAGAAGACACACGTGAAGAGGGTGCACAACAAAGTAGTCTATTAGAGCTTTAAATTAGTTGAACAGCTGTATTATTCTGTTAGAGTACAGCTACTCACGCAACAGATCAGTTAGAAATATTTTAAAATTATATTGCATTTTAATTTTGTTAGAAATATAATCTGCAATTATATATTTTTTTTTATATTCTGTTAGAAATATAATCTGCAATTATATTTTTTTTAAGATTATATTGCATATTAATTATATAGAA